CCCATATAGGCCGTGCCGACTCCATCACGAACGACGAGCACGGGTCCCGATCGGACATTTCTGACTGGAGCTCTTCAAACCCCGTCACTCGGGTCATCAAGGTAACACTACCAAAAACCCTCTATTTCTTTATAAATCATTTCATACATCCATACGCGCATTCATTCCATACGCCCATGCCTACCAGAAGATTCGGGGCCTGAACCGCCCGGCGGCTCGAGAACTAAGCATCGCACGTGCAGCGAAATGCATCACAATGCTCCGTGTTGCGTCACGAAGCGGCGGTTGCCTCATTCGACATGAGCAACCAACAAGGCCAGGGGAGAAAAACGTAGATGAGCCTCGTGCGGCCCTCGCCCAGTCTGGCAGACAGGGTCATCTCAACCTTCTCGTTCGATCCTGAACCTCTTGCCAAGCCCACAAAATCTCCATCGAGGGTAGGCCGTTAGGCCACCCAGGTCGGTCTCTAGAACGACCTAGGCATCTACCGGGTTGCAGGTAAAGGAGCAGTGGAATGTCACAAGAGGGCTATGCCGACCCTGTCATGAACGAAGGACCCGGATTTCACTCGATCATACCCGTTAGCGAACTCACTAAGCACGTCACTCGAGCCTGAGCGATTAGGACAAGCGACAAAACTCAGCCCCTCTGGTTGTGAGAAACCGAGGACGGGGTAACGCACACAAGTCACACCGACCCCCACTAAGGCCCAACAGGGCTCGAGGGCTCAAGACACAAAAAGCCTAGGTCTGCGACCCTGAACTCGCCCCTTCTGACGACGCTCCAAAACCACCTGGGTCTGCGACCCTGATCTCGCCCCATCCGGCTACGCTTCGACTGCGCTCCAAAACCACCTACTTCTACGACCCCGATCTCGCCCCATCCAGCTATGCTTCGACTGCACACCAAACACCTAGGTCCACGACCCTGAACTCGCTCCACCAGGATCCACGACTCTGACTCGCCCGATCCCACGGCGCGCACCGACGCCAGGATCAGTGAGCTCCGTCTCGTCTGATCCCACGACTCCAACTCGCCCGATCCCATGGCGCGCACCGACGCTAGGATCAGCAAGCTCTGTCTCAAAACCGATCCCTTGACTAACTGCCTCGCCCGATCTCGCGGCGCGCACCGACGCCAGGATCAGCGAGCTCCGTCTCGAACTAATCCCTAAACTAACAAAACTAACCGCCTCGGCTGCACAACGATGCCTTGGTAGACAATTCCATCTCAAGATTGAAAAACACGCACACACGCCCGCTAACCAACACCCCCTAGACGGTTCCGCCCGAACCGCCCGAGGGCTCAGGGGCTACACCCGCGCGTGCGCTCGCACGCACCCACCGACGAAGCAAAAACCTCCCCCGCTGGCAACACGAACCCCCCCAAATGGTTCTATCCGAACCGCCCGGGGGCTCGGGAGCTACACCCGTGGGTGCGCTCGCGCGCACCTGCTGTAAAGGCAAAAATCCCCCAGACGATTCTGCCCGAATCGCCCGGGGGCTCACGGACTGCTGTCGGGTTCATAAACCTAGGGTACCACACAAGCCGGTTTCCCAACAAAGGCCCAGCCCAAGCAGACAGCACGCGACTCATGGGCCGGCCCAAGTATCTGAACGACAGGCCAGGAGGGCGGTCCAGTCACCGACCGGAAGGTCTGGCCGAGGAGGAGCAGCACCTGTTTTTCCCCTACTCCGGCCCGCCTCTCCGACCGGAGCGCTCGCTCCGACTCCAACCGCCTCCGAACAGCCTCTCCGACCGGAAGGCCTGGCAGAACACTACCTCCGACTTTGACCCCACGTCTCCGACCGGGGTACGCCGAAATCCTGCCCGCTGCTCTTCTATGACTAGCGCAGCCGGAGCCGTGTGGGACCAACCGACCGGGGACGTCCACTCAGAAGGGATCAGGAAACAAACGGAGAAAGCGAGGCAAGGCGCACAAGTCAAACCACGATGCCAAGGCCCGTACCCTGTCCACCTGCAGGAACAGTGCTCCGCAACCACCCTGACACAAATAGCGTTGTAGGCGCCGACATTTTCCCTACAGTATTGTGGGCGCCATTAAACTCCCATACAGTAAGGCCCACCACATGCCTCTAGGCATTGATAGTGTTGTGGGTGCCGACTTTTACCATACTAGGAATATGGTAAAAACCCCTTGCATGCCTCTAGGAATCAACAGTATGGCGGGCACCGACGTCTGCCGCGCCCAAAGAAGATGGCACAAACCTTCCACATGCATCTGACATTCAACAGTGATGTCAACATTATTGTGGGTGTCTGCAGTTGTCCTATACCCGCCGTCATAGACAGCAAGACTTAGAAACATACGAACTCTCTCCCTCCCACTTGTAAGGCCAATCCTTTCATCTATAAAAGGGAATGCGCTCTCTCCCAATAGGGGCAATTGATTCAAGCTCATAAAAGTTAACCCAAGTTGATCAAAGTCATTCCATTTTCACTAGATCGTTCCAGTTCACTAGTCCACAACCACAGGACCGCCAGGTTTGGACCTTAAGCACACGCTTGAACACTTAGCTCATAGCGGAGCTCCTGTCGCTTTCGGCCCATCCGACCGGAGCCGGTCGGACCTCTTGTACACCCCTTTTCTCTTCCTCTCGTTTGTAACCCCACTGTAAACTTCGAGCACCTAGGCTCAGGAATAAAGTCACCGACCGACTCAAACTAGACGTAGGACATGTTGCCTGAGCCAGTATAAACCCTGTGTCATTGAGTGCTAGACCGACTCCAATCACAACGTACGACAAAACTACAAATATTTACTAGTTGGGCACTTTTCTGCACCGACAGTAACACTCGGCAAACAGCACACGACATCTACAGTGTCGACAAACAGCTATTTACCGAGTGTTTTTTATCGCGCACTCGACAAATGGTTTGCCGAGTGTCAAATTTGACACTCAGCAAAAAAAGTGGTTTGCCGAGTGTTTTTCCAAAATACACTCGGCAAATGATTATTGTTTGCCGAGTGTTTTTGGGAATTACACTCGGCAAACGTGTTTCGTTCTCTCTCAATACCACGATTCTTTCTTAGAGATGCTTCGGTTTCTATGCAATGTACGTTACAACTTTTTCGAAATCTTCTCAATTTTTTACCATAGCCTCTACGGATCATATCACGATACAATGGCAAGTCCTATGTTTTTCAGACTTCATTTGAATTTTTTATAATTAAAAAACCAATGAGCTACATGTCGATGGTCGAGTGTTGGCACCCAGATGTTTCAAATTTCTTTTCATTTCTTCGGTAAGGCCAAAAATAGACTTGACACCATGAATATGATTTGTCAACCCATTTTATTCTATTATTTCATGCACTTATAGATCAAATTTGACGTAAATCAATTAAATTCCTAGAATGCATTTAATGAATTAAAACTAGCAAACAGATCCAAAAAAATGCTAAATTTTAACATGGATTATGCTATGTTGTTTGTTGATTACAAAAAAGTTTCAAGGTCAAATGAGAAAAAATAAATAAATTGTTTGCCGAGTGTTGCCCAACGGACACTTGGCAAAAGGGCAATGGAGGGACACGTGGCGCGATGTTTGCCGAGTGCCGTAATTTGCCGAGTGTTTTTTCCATATTTGCCGAGTGCCGGAGTTTGCCGAGTGTTTTTCAGTTGAATTGCCGAGTGTCAGAATGTTTGCCGAGTGTTTTTAGTATGGCACTCGGCAAACAGATAGTTTGCCGAGTGTCAAATCTTTGCTGAGTGTTTTTAATTTGGCACTCGGCAAAGAGATGGTTTGTTGAGTGTCCGATAAAATATACTCGGCAAAGAATATGACACTCGGCAAATCCTTTAATTCCGATAGTGAGTGAAACTTAAGATAGTTTGACTTAGCACAAAACTAACCGGCATGTATTTAATTGATGGAAGAACTGGGGATGGAATAGCTCAATCCCGTTTTGGGTAACGCGTACGTAGAAGAAGGCTTATGCTCCTTTATCTTAAAAGAACGGACTAAAGGGTCAGCTACTTAGCCAATTTTCATAATTAAGCGCGTGTTTAGTTGTCTGAATTTTGGAATTTGGGTTACTGTAGCACTTTCGTTTTTATTTTTTAATTAGTGTTCAATCATAGACTAATTAGGCTCAAAACGTTTGTCTCGCAATTTTCCAATCAAACTGTACAATTAGTTTTTTTTCGTCTACATTTAATGCTCCATGCACGTATCGCAAGATTCGATGTGATGGATACTGTAGCACTTTTTGGAAATTTGAGGTTGGAACTAAATGCGCGCTAAATATTGTCACTGTATAAATAACTCTTATTGTGAAAAGGGTTATTTACTCTATAATGGATAGGTAGAGCCATAGAATGTGAGCTATACAATTTCACAATACCTTTTGATGAAAGAAAGGGTTGCGGTGTATAGAGAGGGCCTCGCTGTTTAAAAGGGAACCATACCAACTATGGAACCCACTGTTTTTTTAGTATCGTTGGAATTTATTATTTATAATCTTACTGAAGATCATCCTGGTCGGGATCAATCTATCACTGCAGCTACCGAGTAACGGCCACCCTGAGTACTCCAGAGCTACACCGCCCATATGCTTGCTACAATGGAAGAACCCCAGACACGGAGAGTCGTTTGAGGGGCACGTGAACTGTCGGGTCTCTAGTCGTGATTGATCTCCATTCTCCAATATGGATTGCATATATACCACTAGCTAGACAACAACAACAATGGTTCCGGAGGTGCACGATGCATGTATACAACATACATATATCCGGGCATGGCAACACGACGCCACTAAACGACCGAAACGAACAGCTTTTATCTTATCTTGTTTCCAAGCACAGTGACGGACACCGGACACTCGATCAAACACAGGAACATCCATATGCACGAACAATTAGCTCATATATATATATATATATATAGGATCACAACCACACGTACTGCATACACGGACACGGACCGGGCGGTGCACATATGCTTCGCTAGACAGTGACCGGCCGGCGGCCGGACGACTACGACGGGCGCCAGCCGTACACCCAGCCAGTCTGCTCCCTCTGGCCGTGGCCGCTGCAGAACTGCACCATCCACGGGCTCGGCCGGATGCCGAGGCAGAACACCCCCTTTGTCCGCGGCTCACCAGCAGGATCGTAGCCGCAGTACTCCTGCTCCCGGGCTTCGGCGTCGTCGGCGGTGCTGGAGCTGGAGAAGAGCCAGCGTGTAGAGGACGACGACGTGGACTTGACCGACGCCGCCGACGATGAGGACCTCGACTTATTACCGAAGGCGAGGCGGCGGAAGACGGTGGGGATGAAGCTGACCTTGACCCACTTGAGCTTGTACCCGAAGTACTTGCCGCTACTCCTGCTGCCGCCGCCGGTCTTGCCGTGGCGCCGGGCGCTGTAGCTGAGTGGCACGCCGCTGCGGAGGTAGTAGGAGGGCGGCGGGGTGATGACCGGCGCGACTGCGGCAGCGGCCAGCATCCGGGAGGAGGAGGAGGAGTAGGCATCCTTGGGCGTCCCCGGCTGGGACTCCCACACGAACGGCACGGCGCCGGTCCCCGCGCCGTAGTAGCGGAAGGACGGCGGGCTCCCGACCGAGCTCTCCCTGGTGAGCAGGCGCGCGTAGAACTCGCCCTCGTGCGTGATGCGGAGCGGGCTCTGCGGCTTGCTGGGCGGCGTCGCCGCGCCGCCGCCGCGGCGCCGGTGCTGGGACTGGGAGCTGGCGGCAGCGGCATCTTGCTTCTTCTCTCGATCTCGATCGGCCGAGCGAGCGGGTCAGCCAGTGGGAAGTGGGAAGTGGTGTGGTGGTGGTTAAATGGTAGTCGCCGCGGCGTGGGAGATGTGTCGTCGTCGCGGCGCGATCGAGTTCACGATCCAAGAACTCGGTGAGCGATCCGATGGCGCGGTTTTATACGCGGGACGGGGGAGCTCGTGCCGTGTGCCGCCGCTAGGGTGGCTCACTTGCGGCTTACGATACAGTACCACACCTTTCTGACCTCTGAGGTCGTTTTACCAAGCGAGGCTGTGTCACTGGAAGGTGATCAGCGCCAGTGAGGTTTCAGCTACCTTGGGTGAGTTACAGTGAGATGGTGGAGTCGCCGAGAAGTCCTCGACATCATGTTTCGGCTTAAAAAAGAGACCGAAGGCGCCATGCATGATCACCAAGCAATTCCCACCATTATCGTCCCGGCCCTGGTCCCTGGCTTTGCACCGCCAAAAGAACTGTAGCTCAGCAACCGTGCTGAAAACAAAGCTCAACGGCCGGCAATGCCCATCTCGTTCTGCATGCCCTACGGTGAATAATATCCAGGTGAAAGCAAGGACGACAAGGAAGCAAAACTACAGGAGCCCGTACGGTGAATAATACTGAATAATAACCAATAACGGTCGAATCGAAGCATGCACGAGAACGGTTGGCTATTATATTCCGTTTTCAGCCTGCTGCTGAATTCTTTGAGAAGATACTCGCGCATAAGGTTCACATTTATATGTTTAAAAAAAATATGTTTCACTGTCTGGTGGTTGTGGTCAGAGTAAGGCACACAGCAGCACAACCCCCACCCATTACTCAGATTTATTACTATTGACTATTGATGATGGAGTAAAGTGTATGGTCCATCCTCAAACTTATCAAAATGTGTTATATCAGTCTTTGCACTCATATAATACATCATTTTAGGTCTTAACCTCTGTTTTGGGTTTTAGTGACCATCTAAATGGATCTAGACTTGCGCCCGTGTGCCAATATGTGCTAATATGAACCTGGCATGGAGGACACAACATTTGGGGGCAAGAAAGGACAGGATTGCTTGCAAAAAAAAGATAGTGCCAAAGATGGATTAAACACATGAAACAAAAGAAAGGCAATAAGATTCTCCATAGGCTATTTTGTAAGAATGCCAACTTCTTTTTTTTGGGGGGATAGGACATCGTCTGCTCCTTCAGTTTCATGGCAAGTGGCGGCTTTGGTCTTGGCCGAGGGAAGGGAGATAGGCTGGTCATGGCTCGGTAGGATTTCAGCCCATAAACAGAATTTCAGTAGTGTCGGTCTCTAAGTGTTGAACAGATCTCAGATCTTGCATGTGTAGACAGCCACACACTGATAGGCTCGTTGACAAAACTCCTTCATATGTAATATATAACTAGCAAATATGTCTATGCGTTGCAACGGAAAAAACAAAGTTATTGACAGCCTCCCCTACGTTGTAATTCTGATATTTCATATAAGTCAGCCAAGAGTTTGTTGCCAACATGTTAGGCTACGATTAGTTTGTCCATAGATGATTATGACGAGAGTTCTATCTTGACTTTCCATGTTGTGCCCTTTAATGGGGATTGCACTCATATAATGTGAGAGTATATTTATTTATACTGATCTCGATAAGAAACTGTTAGAAATTACTTAGGGTTATTAAAACTTAAATAGGATCAGGATACCTAATCTTAGGCTTAGATTAGTACATCTCTCGAGTTTACCTTCATTAGGATAGGAGGAAGTCATTAGGCTTTAGGTGCGGGGACCCGTGTCTACTTAGAGAGAGCAGCCCCGACACAGAGTCTCAAGGAAGGTGTATCCCGTAATTGTACAGTTGTCACTGGCGTCCTCCTATCAACGGCGACTCCCTCCTTGGTCAACCTGCTGGTGACGGTGATGACCCCGTCGACGAGATTGGAGAAGGAGACATAGGGCGTCGGCCTTCCCTTTATTCCTATGCTTTGGTTAGATCGGGTGCTTAAGGTTTGGTGTGGCTAGCGTCTCTCGTTCGCATCAGCTATCTAGACGGTTAGGGAACCTTCTTTTTTATAAGCACTGCGTAATGGAAGTCGCAACCAGGGTTCAGTTTTGCGACCCCAATCAGATCGTGTACGTGGGGTTGCCTCCCTCAGGACTCGGTCACGTAACCCTTACTGAGATCATCACAACACAAACTGATCAAGGTCTCAGTTCACAATTTGATCCATCATTTGAAGCAAGTGCAAACATAATTGCTGGTTTTGTGTCAAATGAGAAATGCAATAGTGATGTCAAGTGTATACCCTTCTTGTCTGAGGAAGCGCTAATGGTTTGAAGGCCTATATTGTTGTCTATTTTACTTTCTTTTTCACATTTATTTTGTACTCCTGAGTTTTTAAGTGGAAAAACACAACTACTTTGAAGAATGGGAAATCGTCGGCTCATGACTCTGGTGGTAAAAAAAAAAGGTGAAAATCGAAAAAAGGGAAAAAATGATGGCTTCGTCCGTGACTTCGAAGAATCACGAATCGAAGTCTTAAAAATAAAGAAAAATCGTGAATCACAAACCCTTTGGCTCTTGTACTTAAGCTGTTCGGTTGATGGTTTTTGCGACTGATAAGCTGACTGATGCTGTTTTATTATGAGAGAAAAACATTATACTATGACTGATAAGTTCAAACGAACGGGGCGAGATCGGAAAGGTGGGTCCACGGGTGTCATACGTGACGGAAATTATCATAGCTGAAAGAAAAAACGTGTAAACAAAAACGGCTGCCCGTCTGTGGCGTGATGTGGTGGCTCTTCTACTAGGTATAGATAGGTATTGTATGTGACATAAACTACCGTATAGATATAATATACTGTTAATAAATATTAAGGTATAAACATAGATCTATTAGGTATAGATAGAGAATAGACATAGAGGGTTCAAGTATTATAAAAAACAAAGAGAAATAAATTGAGAGGTAACCGTCGGAAAGGAAAAATAAATCGCAAAGCCTATATGGACACGGACTGGAGGAAAAACACGGAGAAAAATGGAGCATGAGAAAATCGGAAAGTCTATCACACAGATCCGAGAAAAAACGACGGGACAAAAAATTGGACGCAAAAATATTAGAACAGAAACGCAAGAAGATAAGAACAGTTGAGGAATCTACTTTTATCTTTTTTTTATTTAAATTAGGATTCCTATTCAATTTAGTCAGGAACGAAACACCAGTAGAAAACAGACCTTTTGTCTCGGCACCATTTTCGGAGTTACTCCCGGCATTTTTTGAACCCGGAAGTGAAGGAGATTTAATCCCGGCTATACCCTCGAACCGGGAGTAAAGGTCGCTGCCCAACGCTGCTGGCTCGGCAGGCAAACCTTTAGTCCCAGTTAGAGGCTATAACCGGGACTAAAGATCGACATTTAGTCCTGGCTAGAGCTATTAACCGGGACTAAATGTTTAGTCCCAGCTAGAGGCTTTAGATGGGAATAAATATTGCTCTTTGTTCCTGGTTATAACCTCTAACCGGGAATAAAGCTTTCGCCAGTGGTTATTAAAAAAACAAATAGTTTTAGTTTATTAGTTTCATTTATATTCTTTTCTTAAGTATACTTTGATTTTTAGAGTCTTTTGTTGAAAAAATAGTTTTAGATTTTAGGAGAAAATTATAATTTTCACACATAAGTTTTTAAGTTTTATTTTACCGTATTTCGACGCAAATTTCTAGTGTTTTCAATCTATAATTCACCGTATTTCGTCTCACGCGGCACAAAGAAAAATGTAATAATAAAAATAATTATCAGAAAAACCTAAGATCTTGTGTGGGCCCATGTTTTGAGGGTAAATGACTGCCAAAAAAATTTCAAACAATTTCGACATAGGCGGAGTCGACGTGCTTCACAGAGATATATAAAACCTTTCGTCGAACCTTATCTATACACCTAAGTTCTATAGGATTCTGAGGTCCATGTGCTTTCCAGTGCTGGATTGGTCTCAAACTTTTTCTCAAGACTGCAAATGCCCTGTGTGAGGCCACCGCCAAATTTGAGATTTTTCTGAGCTGGTTTGGTGTTTTTTTGCACTTTAATTGAATTTCCGCGCGAATTCACCGATTAATTATACGTTGAACTGAGTCCACCCCCGAAAAGATTCGGAATAGTGCCAAACTTTGCCAAATGGTCTCTTATGCCCTAGGTGACAAATCTCTGTGGAGGTCAACGCAAAATTCTAGTGTTTCAATCTATAATTCACCGTATTTCGTCTCACGCGGCACAAAGAAAAATGTAATAATAAAAATAATTATCAAAAAAACCTAAGATCTTGTGTGGGCCCATATTTTGGGGGTAAATGACTGCCAAAAAAATTTCAAGCCATTTCGACATAGGCGGAGTCGATGTGCTTCATAGAGGTATATAGAACCTTTCGTCGAACACTATCTATACACCTAAGTTCTTTGGGATTCTGAGGTCCATGTGCTTTCTAGTGCCGGATTGGTCTCAAACTTTTTCTCAAGAATGCAAATGCCCTGTGTGAGGCCACCGCTAAGTTTTAGATTTTTCTGAGCTGGTTTGGTGCTTTTTGCACTTTAATTGAATTTCTACGCGAATTCACCGATTAATTATACAATTATTGATGAAGAACTTTAAGATTTACGTTAAAATGATGTGAAAACAAATTTCCTGTCGAAAACCAATAGATTTAATGATTTTAATTAAAGTCTATATTTTTGCATTAACGAAAATAGTGATTATTAG